CCGTAGTTTGTTGTTCAATGGTGCAGATATGCGAAGATGTGGTCGTTTGTGGTTCAATCGTGGAGAATAAGCGAAAAGGATCTATCGTCTGCTCGGTTAAAAAATGAACTCAACTGTGTGTCTTGAGATTTTTTCATATATATATGTATATATATGGATTAGGAGGAGCTTTGTAAGCTCCATCGGGCTATCATGGAGGTATGGCAAGCCTTTGGCACTGTCCATTGTCCATTGTGCAGGTACTGAGACGTTTTTGTTTTACGCTGTCCATTGCTAGTTTTATATCCTCTTCATTGCTTTAATTTTACTTACAAGATTTCGTCATCCCGTTTTTTGGATATTATGAAAATTTTGTTTGAACGTAGCTTTAATTTCCATAATCCGGCAGAAAATTTGCATTATGATTTTCGGAGTTTTCCCGACACTATTCTTTTCGTTTCAAGATGGAGTATGCTGAGTCTTTTTCAAATTGCCCAAGAAATCTCAAATAAACAGCCTTTCTCATCTAAATGGAAAAAAGACAATGGCTTTAAAGCACAAATTACAATTACTAGCTCAAAGAAAAAAAAAAAAAAGATGCATCTTACACAAATTAGTGAGACTTATCATTGCAAAAACTTACAATGGTCGAATGAACATATTAGTGTTTGTTAACTTTTCCTTTTTCTGTATTACTTATCAGAGATTTTGCAAAAAATATCATTTTTTATTGGACTTTCTCGTGAACTGATTAGACAAAGATAGATTATCATATTAAAAGTAAGTGAAGTCCCCTTGCAATTAGTTGTTGCATATCCTGGTTTATTTTTAATGGTAAATTATCTTAAGCACTTAATCTTAAAGCCAATTCTGATGAAATTAATGACGTATACAGGACTATTAGTATAACTGGAATAACATTAATTCAAAAGCCCAATTTTTTAATTGACAACTAGAGATTCACATCAATTAAAATGCAGAATTTACGAATGTTCGATAATACTTACTTATTATTGGAAAAGTGTTGTTCTGCACAATATGCTCATTAAATTGTGATCTGAGAACCGACAACTGAAGAACACTGTTGAAATAATTCGTTGTGTTCGGATAGTTGTGATCTCCTGCTTTTACACTAAAAAGACAATTGAAAACCTAAAATTAGGGTTGGGGAGGGAATAAGTGGTACCATCTTACCAAAAAAACTTCCGGAAATGAAAACTTTCCGCGAATTGTAATAGATTCCTGACTGCTGCATCTTTTTTTGCCCTGCATATCTCTAGTGATGAATTCTGCCGTAATTAAAATTTACCATGAAGAATGACATATTATTTTAAGAAATTATTATAAAGTTTTAATTAAAATAATTATTCTGATACTCAGAAAAATACAACATTACCTTTATCACTGATTTGTTATGAAATATTTTGTATCACTTGTATACCTTTTCTTGCGCATGGTTGTTACTCTTTAGTTTAATTAATGGAGCTTATACTGGACTCATTTTGTTGTCGGAATCAGAAACAATTTTAAGAACGAAATCAGCAATGAAGAATTTTCATTAAAAGTTGTATACTTTCAATAAGAAGAGTAATCAAAATATATCATTAGCAAGAAATTCTAATTGAAGATTAAAAATTTCTTTGTAACTAGAAACGATTGTTGATTTGGACCAAATTTAGGGTCTGTACTGAAAGGTGGGAACATTTTTGTGTTATTTTCGCTTGACTAACAAGTGTGATTAGTTTTTTCCTCCCAAAACGAGCCTAAAAATCAAAAATAAGAATGAAAAGGTCTATTTATGAGCACAAAAAATTGTATTTTTACCTGAAATTGTAATGGAGCACCATGCAGTGCTATCCGAAAGTTGGATAATCAATTTCCTAGATATCAAAGCCTTCAATCCACTGGTTAAGTAATCGTCATCGAAGCAAACCATATTTTGTTGAGCGATGTTGAATTCAAACCACCTTTAAATGAAAGAGATTTTTACAACCATACACCAAAATATAAAAATGACTGGGTAAGTTGTCCAAGCTTGGGTAGAATAAGAGATCAGCTATATCTTTCTGATGGATGGTTAGTCATCAGGAAATTATCAAATCATTAGGTACTAAGGGGGAAAACATTTAGAGATTGAATCTGACAAATATTGCTGGCACTATGTGAAAATGGCCAATATTGTCAGGAAGAATTTCAGAAATTGAAAGTCATTGAAATATTACTATGCTATGTGGAATATTCAATCGGAAAAATGCAATTTTAATTTATTCACTTGATTTAAATTTTTGTTAAAATTGTTCAACTGTTTGTATGTTATGCATCGTTGAGTATTTTCATTACCAGAGATTTGTTGTTTTAGCCATCAAATTCAACCTTTCATTCAAAATTTTTATTTTGATACACGATACCATTCGTTTATCCTTTGAATTTGATTAGATACTTATCGAAGTAATTTTTATCTCTTGTATCCCAACTCTTTTTTCTTACTTATTTCAATTATATAATTTGGCTAATTCTTAAATAAATTGTCCGCATCGTAATTCCTAAAAAGCGGATGAATGGTAAGTAAAAGATGATTTGAAGTAAGTAAATGATGAATGCAGTTAAGTTAAACAGGCTGTTCTTATCAAGCTTCTACAGGTTATATTTAATGAAAATACAAAATCGCTAAGCTTGCTTTTTTTTTGAAAATGTATTTGAAATCGTTATCATTTCCCAATAACCAAATAATTTTTGAGGGAAAGGTGATGGCAGTAACAGCTGGTCAGACGATAAGCAAATTCAAGTATCAAAGCTATCAAAAACTCATATTTTAAACTACCTGAACATCTAAACTTAACTTTTATCCCAACAAATTCATTGAAACCAAATATATTTGTAGACATCCGTTTGATACAAAATTCCAAATTATTTTCTTTTGAAGTGGATAACTCACATGGTCATCTATTATTTATAATGTCTCTGATCTCATCGATGACATCTCTCGAAATTTTCATACAATTTGCTAACTCTGTCACAGTTTCCAAATCAATTTTTGGCAAGTGTTTTCTGCATTCTATTTGTTTTGCCGTAAAAGGTTATCGAGATAGCTGAAAAAGTGAAAACTGGTTAGTTGAGCATTCTGATCAGAAGAATACTGTTCGCAAAACATAACTGCGTAGCTAATTTGGCCAACTTCTGAAGCACTACTTGTTCAAGGTATGATTAGGACAAAAGAAAACATGGTCGCTACGTGATGTCCATATCTTCTTTTGTCTAAATTCCGTATCAATGCGGTTAAGTTTTTCGTCAGCATGTTGTCATAAGATAAGAGGATCAGTTTCGATGATTGCTGCCAACTGGTCATTGTCAATTTCCGATGACCTGTCAGCAGACTTCTCGTTCCTTCACAAACCTTCTTGAGTCACAACTGTACTGTACGATTGTATAGCAAAGAAAAAACCAGTTCCTGAGTCAGTACACTGTTAATATTGGGAGTTATTCAGGTTGGAATTCATAAAAGAAACCATTCAAATTTGCTTTTAGTCCACCATTTCTTTATCCTGTAGAATGAAAAGGAATAAAGTGAAAAATGAGGATTAAAATATAGCCAGTCTTCCATTATTGAGTAACAAAGTTCAATAATGCAAAAAAACTATTTCAGAGGATATGAGATCAAGCATGAAATTTCCAGTACTTTTTAATATAAAAGGATCATAATGAACCAAAACGACTCTAACACAAAACTTTTTAATTACATATCTCCTGGAATGTTATTTATCAATTGAGTGGGTACTAACAAAACAACCATTTCATTAAATGTGAAGCTTATGAATTACAGGCCTCTGTTAAGAACTTTTTCATCATCTCTATTCCTGTCTTTAACATAAGGGAAGTGCTATATAATGCCGCATGGATTTGCAATAATTTGTAAAAAAAGGCTTCATAAAACAAGTATGTTAATAGGCGTGTTGTAAATAATTTTTGGCTAGTGTTCCAAACAACCCTAGAAGATGTCTTTGTTTGTTGATCAATAAATATCGCATCTTTCGAACCATCAATCAACAAATTGTTCCATTATATCGATCATGAGATAAACATCATCAGATCATTGGAGAAGAACTGGACATCGTATCATTTAGTCCTGACCTCATTTATGTCAGTTGTAGTCCTCAAAAGCCCATAATAGATGAAGATAGAGAGCTATTTAAATATATGGCAGTTCCTCTTTCATCTAGTTCAATTTAAAAATTATAACACCAGAACCTTACCACTTTCTTCTTATTCCTTGAAATATATTGGTCTTATCTACCAGTGTAATTTGCATAATTTTAACGTCCGTTAGCACTTGTATCAATAAATAATATGAAAACTAATGAAAGCTTCGCTTAATTCGCAAAATAAATTGCAATTGAAATTTGTTTTTTATGGATGGATCTATTTTCATTAATCAGCTCTTTCGATCAATATTTTGTTACAGTATCCCCCGTTTCATTCAGTTTTTTTTTTCATTTCAACAAATTCATTTGATGGAATTGTAACTGGATACAGTACAGTACACCGTTGTACATTTTGGAAATTTTTGTTTTTTGGAACTTTCCTTTGGTTTATATTTTGGAAATTTTCTCTTGGTTCTTGTTACTAACTCAACAGAGAAGAGGAGAAATTCGTTTCATTTGCATTTCATCATTTCGGTTGGGACTTGAGAGTTCGTTTCTTCTGGTAATTTTCAATATTCTTTTAGCACATTTGCAAAAGAAATGAATTACTGTATTTTTCTAGTAAAGCACTTTTATGTTTTTACTTTCGACACAGCATAACTCTGCAAATTAATTCCAAATCAAAATGATAAATTTGTTTTTTTCAATATCGATGTTAGAATGAATTTTAGGTTTCCACGAAGTATTATCACAGTTCAAAGGTCGTATTAAACACAGTAGTAGAGGTAGGAAATGGTTACGACAAAATAGAAATGTCTCAAAATTGTTAAAAATCGATCTCTCATGAGCTAGTAAAGTGCATTCTAAATTGGGGCCATCTTTTTCGAAATGAAGGGTTTGGTATTCAACTCATCCATATTTGTCTCTAAATTGCTTTTCACATGTAACATGTTCTTAAGGAGTCAAGTATGATTTCCTCAGCTTTACCGTACATTGGCGTTCTTTTACCACAATAAGTCGCTATTGTTATATTTTGTTAATACCTGTTGCTTAACACCATTGTTCAACCATTTTCTTCCTTCATTTGTTTTTTGCTTTTTTATTAATTCTTGACCAAATAAATCTCTCCATATAGATGTGAGATTGGCAATGATTCGTGACCTCACCTGAATGTATCATTCACCCAATGCACTACCTAACACATTCCCGCATGATGATGATTCCATCTGCTATTCATCTCGCTTTTCTGTGAATTAGAAAAGTGCGCAATAAGCGAACATAAATAGGCCTAATCAAATTATCTGAAGAAGATAAAAGGCTATATTGGTCATAAAATATTGTCACCAAGAACCTGATCAGTATTTATTTTTTGCTTTGAAGACATGAACCGCTTTGATAATTTCTTTCAAGATATTCAGTGAAGTGCAAGATGATCTTAGACTGTTCTGAAATTGCAGAGAAGAATGAAGGATGCAAGCTATTAGCTGCTAATGAAATTACTGGTGATCCACGACGAAAGTTCCAAAATTTTGGGACATCGCTATCTTAACTCACAAATTTCACTTTATCTCGGTGTACTACAACTTGCTATTTGCGCTTGGGCCATGGCGCAACATTTCTTCTCACTTATCCACTACAACCAGGTATTCATGCCAGTGTAAGACGAAGATAGCAAGCAGGAAAACTGGTCGAGAGTAATGTACATTTTTTTCATATTCGAACTGAAAAAAGATCGATGAAAAAGAACGAGAAGTAAAATGAAGTGATGTAAAGTGGAAATAAATCATTGTCCCCTGACCTCTAACAACAATGGAACCACTAGGTTTATTAAAATTTCATGCGGGACTGCAACTAATTAGGGACTGAAAGGTGCAAATCTCCGGACTTTAATTTAAATAAGTTTCAGATACTTTTCTGCGATTTCATAAACGGGACAGAACCAGTTTTGCTGGTTGGCGTGGATATCATCATTTTTGACATTGGCTTGTTTCATTCACTTTGGGGTATTGATAGTTGCGTGGCACAACACTTGGATGGTGGATATGGACGGTGCATATGGTGCGTATGTCACATTCTTGCCTTCGTCATATGCCTACCATTTGCATTCGTATCAAGACCAAGGCCTTACTCATTGTGGCCTCTTCTCATCCAGGTAATATTATTCTATGGTATAGAAGGAGGGGCCATATAGATCATTTGTAGACAATCAAGGAGACTTTCGGTCTAGACTGTATGTAACGGAACTTGCCTCATTTCATGTACACATAAAGATCCTTGCGTGTTAATTTCCATTTCCATTTTCCGTGCCTAACTTGTTTCAGATCCGACAAATTATTTTTTTTTGACATTATTGACATCTTGAAATATTCTTTTTATGCTTCTCTTTTGGAACAAAGTTTCACCAACACAGCATTTTATGCCTTTTTCCTCCATACTCTACAGTGCATTGTTGAACAAATTCCACAAATTGCCTACATAAAAATCCGTATTACTTTCTAGCAAAGTGCCTACGGTGTCGGGTTATTGATCTTAAGCCTGGCTGCTCTACCAAAAGTGTTACCGACATTTACCGGTGATCAAAACAGTGCTTCACTTTTTTCGGTATCAATCTATGCTGCTGGTGCATCACTGAACTTCTTCTTGGTATCACTTCTCATTATATGCAAGGAATGCTCCCCTCAGACTATCATTTTACTATTTGAAGTTATTGAGTTTGAAAAATGAGGAGACAACTGAAATAGTAATTCATCAGTATTAAAGCAAATAAATCAAAGTTCAACAAATTTCAAAGTTCAACAAATTTTTGAACAACTTTTCTCCATTCAGCAGTTTAAGAAAATCCTTAATTCTGGATGGAATTCATGGATCGATGAATTCATCGTTCCTTGATTTACTGACATACAACCATAATAACTCTTCAGTTGTATATTTACTGGCATTGGTATTGGCACGTAGAAGCGATGTGGAATTCGGCACGAAAACTGCGTCTCAGTCGTATTAGCTCAGTAATGAATCAACGCTCACGTGAGACATCTCTCAAATCTGTTAACGTTACGGGTGATATTGCTCTACAACATATTCAGTCACACAGTCCATTCTTGCAAACTCAACCAGTCACTTCACGGAAACTTTTAACCGACTCATATCAAGAACGAGTTGCTATCATTGTGCCCGAGAATTCTTTTGGAGTAGAGAATTCTATGAATCACAATAGTTATGATTATCATGACTTGAATTCAAGAAATAAGTGCAGAAAATCGTGCGATAAGTATAGTGACGTACACGTGACCAGTTGTGATGAGGAAGAAGGATTGCTACAAGTTATTAGCTATGATAAGACAAATTGTTACGATAAGTTAACAACCCATCTCTGCAACAACGGTTGCTTACATTACAAAATGCAACTGCGACAGTCAGAGCTCTTTAAAACTTGGAGCCGAAATAGCAGTCTTGGCCTATAACCCCTTTATTTTCTTTCCCATTATTCGCGTCCTATCCCATGGCGTTCTTATTACCCCTTCATTCAAAATACTGAAGCTACTCGAAATTTCAGTGTTTCACAACGAAGGCCTCCGATAGGTCAGTCCCCGCGTCGCCGCATAACATCAGCAGCGCATATATATATATATATATATATATATGCGCTCATTTTGTGATGAGCACACTCATTTTGTCTAACACACTCATTTTGTCATATTTATGGCCATCAGCTTATCTAACAACTTCTGCATTCCTTATCCAGTGGGTATAGCATAGCAGAATTGAAGTTATGATAGATTCGGAAAAAGTATTAGAAAGAGGAAAAATAAAACATGTTCAAAGAAGTGAATTGTAGAAGTTAATTTGAAAAGAATAAGCTGTCAATTTGTACTTTTAAACATTCGCACTTTCACGGATTAGTTTGTTCAATATTTTCTGAATGATACGAACTGAATAAGACGACTTCGAAATTAACATTTAAATAATTGCGTTCCAAATTCCATTTTGAATAAACCTTCAATGAACTAATTCTAGAAATAACCCATTCTTCAATTTAAAAATTCATTTTATTTCTTCCTTATTTTTATTTTTACGGATTTATTACTGCATATTGCTTGAAGCTTCAGTGGTATGGTGCATGTGAAATATTTGATATTTGTACATTTTATGCAAAAAGTTATCAGCCCTTTCTTGCTTAGACTTTATGTTCTTGAAGTGAGCGATATCAAAACAAAGTAACTTTTGAATCTTAAAAAAAGTTATCAAATCAAAAGTCACAAAAGCAATGTTCTGGAAGAATTTGATTTTTACTCCGCAAAACAAACGAAACATAAAGCAATGTAACTCTTTTTCAATGTTCTATCCGGAAGTAAAGATAATTAATTGGCCAAATATTCTTTAATGACTGAAGTCCTGCCGCGGAACATTTATACCAGCATTTAAACATTAACTGAAGTTAGTGGCATTGAGTAATCCTAAATTATTTTATCTTTTTTAAGGAAAAAGAAAACTAAATTATTTTAACAAAATTCACTCCCCGAATTTAAACGAACTGAAAGCACAAATGTAATTTTAATAACGACGACACTGTGAAAAGCGATAGTTATGCAATGTATTATAATTTTGTGGTAGACTGATGGACAAGCATCATTTACGCGGTGATTTTTTTAATGGAATAAAAATTTAACAGGTACGGTAGTGAAAAAGTTGAGTTAGAATGTAATAAAATAGAGAACTGTTTTTCGTTAGCTTACAGAATCTTGGAAATAGAAATGTCACTATTTTATTTTAACGAGAGGTTAATATAATTTAAACGTTGAAATTTACAAGAGGATGAAGAATTTAACAATTACTCCTGTCTTGCAACTTTTTTCAATTGAAAACAAACTAGAAAGTGATTTGCAAAACATGAAATTGTAAAGGAAAAGTTCTCTTCTTTCTGTTTTATTCTATTTGCCAGTTATTCAGATGACGATAACTAAATAGCTTGAGGTCAGAAATTCACCGCATGGGCCATAACTATTGCAGTCATTTCACAAGTTGATAAAAAGACACCATGAGACAACCAAGCAGACAAACCTTGTTTCCATTTCATTTTAGTACAACTTTCCTCACCTTCACCTTCACCTGTCTGTTCAACTGCTACTAGTCCATTAAATTGCATAAAATGAAGTAGCTGCTGTGTAAAAAACATTTAAGTATTCTTAAAACAGAGAACTTTAGGAAAGACAAGGTTTGGCAAAGTTTCTAAAATATCATATGGCAATGTGATGTAAAGTTCTACCATGAATAATCGAGGAATATTGTCAGCCCATTCGTTTCATGATGTAGTCGGTGATTCATATTAACTGTAACGTGATAAACAAAAATGCGACAGCAGGTAATTTGTGATGATGTGCTTTGATAAAGTGTAAATTAGCGAAAATTTACAAATCAATAATCTAGAAAATGTGACAATTTTAATTGATATTGAAAATTCCATTGGCAGTTGTGAAATTTTCGAAATGATATTTAAACTGTCAATTTCTATGAATTAATTGAAATGAATCTCGTTGTCAAGTTGAGAAACCTGATGATATCAGTCTTCACTAGTGTTGTTGCATCATAACACAGGAAAGAAAAAGGGATGGTCGGAACTCTTGAACTAAACTTAGACTTTACCCGGTAGAATGTTGGGTCAGACATGTTCGAGTAATTCTACCTATCAAAGCGAAGTAAACAAAAACCAGTCCATCTTCACTGAGTACATCATTTGAATGAATCTGTCCCTTTTGAATGAAACTGCATGCAACTCATAAAAAGTGATAATTATTCGTTGCAAATATGACATAATTTGAAAAAGGTGTTAAATTAGATGACTCAAGTGCAACCGTCTACATATCTATCTAACACCGGTCCTGATTTGCGTATAATAGCAATCAATCATTACTGTTAATTTATTTCTTCAGCACAGAAAAATTGCTTTCACTAGTCTTCTATTAGCTTTTCATAAGTCGTTCTTGATGTTTTTAACAGCCTATAACCCGGGAAATTGCTAAGGTGATTTCTTTTGCGATTTCTCAGGATTGCTCTATTGTCTGTCAAATATGCCAGCTGCCAGCTAATAAATATTTCATTAGCACTTTAATGTAAAGAAATTTTCACCAATGCATACTGCTAAAATTCGAATTTCGATTTTCAATAGCGATCATTAAAAGTTAGCAGCGCTTTGTAGTAAATTAACTTTAATATCTACGATAAATATATGCATGAATTTATAAGCCTCAAGTAGTACTTTTGGGGCCGTAATTCACATTTAATTCATCGTCTCCCTTCCATATTTTTCTTTATTATCGATCGTACTATGCCGCCTATGCTTCATCTTCAAAAAGGTATACGCCTATAGAGTGAAGGCGCACATAGGACTTATTGTCAAGCAGTTTCCATCTATTTGTATTTCTCTCAAATTCGCGAAATAATCGCAATCAATAAAGCTTTAGTGGCAAAGCGTAAAGATTGAATTCAGTAAACTAGTCTAGTTTAGGGAAAAACTGGATGCTTGCATAAACAAATCCTTATTTTGGCTTGTTTTAATCGATAGCAATGAATGAATTTCCTAGACACTTGGCTTCAGCTTATCGCTTTATCTTTCATGACAACTGTCGGGATATAGTCAGGTAGACGTATCTGCTACTTGTCATTAAAATGGGTCACTTTTTCGTTGATGACAGATAAACAATGATGGCATTTCAAACAAGTAGTCCTTGATTAGCTTCAAAATGGCACTTATATGTTGTGCGTCATAAGAAGCTCAGGGCCTGGGAAGTGTCATCAAGCGATACAGTTTTCAAATTACTAACAAAGCAAAATATCACAGCTTTGATTTTTTTTTTCCTATGAGTAAGAACGATGATTTATAGCCAGTAATATCATATTTACTATAGGGCTCCTTTAAATGGTGAAACGCTAACTTTGCTTTGACTTCTTCGCTCTAAATCATATTATTGCCCCAAAATTAAAAGTAATGACAAGTGCTGATTTGTGACTTCCGATAATATGCTCAAATCATATCAGCAATTAGTCTTGCATAGACATCTCTTCCTTTAAAACCATAGGCGACATTTTGCATGCATTGTGGTTGACAAGTTTTTTTTCTTTTTTTTGCTTTTTTTTTTTTGTAAAGCTGCTAAAATGGCATTTTAACGCGCAAATCAATCATAATCAGGCATTTGACACACACTTTCTTATAAAGAGTATGGAGTATATATATATATAGTAAAGATAGTATAGTATAGTATACTCATTCAATCGAAGTGTGTAGCATTTGTTTCCATTAGTTTTGTATCTTCAAGAAGAATTAAATATTTCAGTTGTTTAAATGCAATAAGTTTACCGAAAACTCTGATCGAAATTGGATTATCTGAACAAACAAGAAAGCAATGTCTGACGTATGTCTTTTGTTCTTTATTTTAACCTTTGACCAGTTCATGTATTAAATTGGCTCTTATATTCCAGTTTTTTCTCATCATCCTCCCATTATGTTACCATAAATAGTGTCTATGGAAATGTTCGGAGCTTTTTTCATAGCGTACAATTATTATGACATAATTTTGATCTGAAGGGAAAATTTAATTGTTCGAAATTTTAAATGAAGTCAATCTTTTATAAGTAATTCTTCAGTGTAGCTTTCCATAAGCCAATTGAACTAATTATATCAATTAATTTTAGGCTTTCTCGCGGTAACTGTCTTCGTATGACCCAGTGATTACAGTTTCTTTTGAAGGGCGCTTTCAAAATCATTTTTCGGCATGCTAAACGGATGCAACCGGTTAACTGAGGGAGAAGGAACTAATTTTTTGATGCTACATTTCAGTTTCTTTTCGCAAATTTTACAGAAACAGTGTCACATATTTTATCCAGTCTTTCACACTAATGAAAGTTCATATTTTAGTCCTTTACTTTTTAATAAAACTTGTAAAACTCGATTTTATCTAAAAAATAACTTGGAAGGAAAGTGTTTTGAATATGATTTTAACTTATTACGATAGGGTTCCCTATGTTAGGCCAGAATTGAGTTAACATATCCTGATAAAGATTTGCTGTTTCTGAAGAAGGACATATGAGATGACTTCGCTTACTTTCAATTAGTAACATCTCTTCGATATCTGCATGATATATCTATTCCCTTATCCCTCCAAGGTTATTGTTTTCCATACACTGTTTGAAAAATAATTCTTTCATCTTCCATTATTCATTTATTGCATAATTTCATTTCACGATGTGCATGCAATATCGTTTTCAAGTCAGTCTATCTTCACATTCGTAGTTTCTGCAAAGTCAATCTTTTTCGAAGGGTTATACTATTAAGTTCATTTTTTCTACAACTGTTACATTATATCATATTTTGATTGCAGTTTGTAACAACGCTCCTAAATTAGATTGAGATTTTAAAAAATCTTAGGTTACTTCCTGAAGTGAAGTTTTCAGTTCACAATCACTTTTAAATACAATAACAAATTTTGCTCTTTTTTTCATCGCATCGCTCAGGAATAGGATTAGTGAAGCTATGAAATTAAAGCCAGTAAATTTTCTTAGAAATGATTAAAACTTATTATGGGTAACTGACCAGTGAACAAACTACCAATCAAGAAAATGAGAGCTATTTGGAACGCTTCATTCAAGTTCTAAAATTCATCAGATTTAAATTAAGTTATTGTCGAATCACCTCAACCATAGCTCTTCCAAGTCCATTGAAACGTGTTTTGCGGTTAGTTTAAAGGCCACTTTTTTTCTTCTTGTAGTGCATCATATCTGACAGAAGTATTACAATTTGATTCGTTTCTTTTATTCTCTGTAACACTTCCATCCCTCCTTCCATTCCGTTTTCTTTTAGGACAAATTTCATTGACTAAGTCCCTAACTTGTCCCAGTTTTTTTCGCCCTCTTTGAAAATATTTGGATTGAACACCTCCCAGCACTTTATTCTTTTTAATTTTTTTTCACTCTCTGTAACATTCACTGATTGCATGGAGATGGTAATTACTAGGATTGATAGTAAGGTGACAGCTAATCTTCCAGTTTTACTTTTCTTCCTCTTTTATGGTAATATATTTTTTATTTATCGTTGTTTTCTTCTTTTAGTTTTATGGCAAAATGACGCAACGTTTGAAAAAGGCGGTTGTTCAGGCCACTCATGCTTTCCAACCCTTTCGTTAGTTTCTTGGCTTTCATTCTTTTGTTTATATTTACTTTTATCAACCATAAAGGACGTCAAATCAAAGCCAAGAAAGTGTATAAAGTTTATGAGTAGATCAGGCATACTTCGTTGATTCCAATACTGAGTAAGAATGAAAGGAGCGTAGCACCACCATTCGCTTACGAATTGGAATTGGTTCAGCCTTAGATTAAAATGCGGGAGTCCATCCCAGTTTTCGTAGCATGCATGTACTCCGATCTATTCCTCCATATTTGTCCACTGGGATTAGCACTTTGTCATTAGAATGCCTTGCAGGAAATAACCGACGCTCTAATGACCATCTAAGTAAAAAGCCAGTAGCTGTGATCAATATAGTGTTAGTATTTTGGCTGCTTAAATTTGAAATATCAGATACTCTCTACCTTCTAACTTAAATTTTAATTAAGACTTCCTTCCTTTAATTTGAATTTTAACTGGGACTCCCTCCCTTTAATTTAAAATTTGCCGTTTTGATGAATGCTATTGGTTCAAAAGTGGTGAATGAAATGCTTAGAGATAGATCTGTAATGTTCTCGTGTACCCTAAAAGATAGTATCTCACTTCGTTATTTGTGAATTCCTAAATAATACATTCATATTTCATCACTTACCTGAAATATGCCAATTATTCTGACATCTTTAGACTGAATTGCAACTTTTCATAGAGTACTAAAACTTTTTAAAACCAACAAATTTCTGTGATTACATTATCTTCTTAGTGGGAAATTTCTTGTATTCTTGAAGTATTGCGTAACGTAACACAGAGTAACAAAATTTCTTTTTATTTGTACCTCAAACTTGGGTTATTAAAGCCTTAGATAAAAAATAATATTTATATCGCATAATTACTAAGAATTACAAAACAAATTAAATCATAAAGCGAATCCCATAGATGTCGTCGCTTCAAGATAATTTTGAAGACAACGATTCGGAGAATAAAAGAAAGGAAGAATGTCCTCCTACTCTCTGCAAGGTGTATATATACATCCTTTACGAAGCGCCTTTGTTAGCTCATGCGGATAAAGCCCTCTGTTAGCGCCCATTAGTAGTATAGGGCTCCTTGGGTACATTGCTAAATAAGGAGCACGTATACAGTTTCTATGAAGTGATAGCATCTGTCCTACTCATACTGTATGTTTTTTAGTCTTAGTCACGATCCAACATAATACGTGCTAGTTAGTACATCACTACACATTCACTTATGATTCTTTAGTTTATTCGCCAACATCTTCTGGGAACTAATTAATCTTCCAATTTTTTGTCGAATTCTCGGGCATGCAATGGTATTATCCATTGTTTTTTAAGCAACACCTTAAATTTTAAATATATTCTAAAGTTTCGTAGAAAAACAAGCTGGAATGTTAATGAAGACGGATAAGCGAATTTGTTTGTCATGTAGATATAGATTAAATTACTAATGGAGCAGTTGTCATTTGTGCAATTACCATGATTCATTAATGCATTTGATGCTTTAGCTTGGCCCTCAATTCACATCAGATAGTAATATGCACTCATTGTGCTTTATCGCGGGCTTCTTATATCAAGTTTTAAAATGATAAATAATTTTTAACTTCTTTTGCTCCTCGAATATGGATGACGAAAAATTTTCGATTTTTAAAAGTGGGCGAAATTTTTGAAATTGGGGATGTCACTACATTGAAAAAAGAAACAGCGAAGCCCAGTTTTAGAATTTCAAATCTTCAGTTTCTAGGCTTATTCCTTTTTACTTACGACCAGTTCTTTCCCAAGCGCTTCGGTTTCACTTTTTTACTTGGATTCATTGAAATTTCAGATTGTTTACCAGTTGTCAACAATATACAGGAGGCTAGGTATATGTGCCCACCTCTATATTTGTCCCCAAAAGGAACAGGAAAAGTAAATATTGTGATATGGATACTTCTCGTCTTCCTATAAAATGTTTCATCCTAGCTACCGGAAATTACCGAGCCGAAACAGCTCGTAGTTTTTGGGAAGTGAACCACACATCTGGAAGTGTTTTTTGAAATTCAGATCATTAAATATGAACTTTGTAAAAGATTTTCTCACTCTAAAAGGAAGTTCTAACATAGAAATATTGGATTCCATTCTTCCTCTATTGAATAAGAAAATCGCTATGTGCATGTTATCTTAGTACCAGAAAGGGACCTCTTTCGTCTATATGAAAACACTCTTTAGGCAGAAAAATTGAGTGAACATTGTAGGAATTAAAGCTGCATTGATTCTGAAGTTGAAAATATTCTAAGTGATAAGATAAAGAACAAAAGAAACAATTCACCCTCTCAGATAGTTTGTTATCAGAAGCACTGTTGTGTAATCTCTTTTCTGTTTGCAATCACGGCTTCATCTCAATGTTTCCTCTATTTTGCTAAAGTATTTTTATAGTGCCATCATAGATTTTTATTTACTTTATTTGATCTATGAACAGACAAACATACAGACGGACACTCATACATACATACATACATACATATACATACATACATACATACATATAAATATGAGAAGTACGGACGCACTCGCTTACACGCACTCATACCATTGCACGCGCTCTTTTTCGTCAATGTTTATACAGCGGTTTACAATGTTGGTACCTTTTCACAGTCAGATTTGAAAGTTTGTCAGGTTGAATATTATTTAAAAAACGTTAAGGATGGTGTAACTACGGTATAGATGAAAGGCCTACCGTATCTTTGTCACACGGTTCTTATAATGTATTTGTGTACTTTAATGAGAACATTTCTCTGCTAACAGTTACTTTCTTCTTTCCTCCTTACATTGATTGGTTATCATTATTATCCCTTTTTTCATTCCAGTTATTTATTTGCGGGATAAGATAAATTGCACACCAGAATGGCAATCTATTTATCGATTTTAACATATAGAAAATGTTTAGAAACTTGAGAAATATACATACCCTTCACTTTCGATTTTCAAAATCATTCATTCTTTAATAATATGAAATTTCCCGTGCTGATGTCTCAAACGGTAGGTGGATACGGAGAAACAGGACAACAGATGACGACGATGATCTTTCCTGGGAAGAGATGCATAAATATGTTGCAAGAACATCTGACAAGAAATGCAAGATTGTACTTCCATTAAAGCAAGGAAGAAAGTTGGGCGGAAAATGCGTCTCAACGGGTTTCTGGGCAAAAGAGGAAGGAAGTGCATCATCCTCAGGTGCTTAGTGAATGTATTGATGGTTATCGGAGTGCAACTGTTCTCTCTCTCTCATTCTTTTCGCAGCTTCAATGAAAAATTAGGTTGAAAACTGAACCGTGCACTTTGGAAAATGATGGATTTCTGCAGAAGAGTACGTACGCGAAACGCATTTCAGTTTGAAAAAATTTCGAAATGAGATAATGTTTAAAATCTTGAAAGTTTGGATAATAAAATCCTTAAATTCGTAGGTTCACTGTTCTCGTGTCATTATTTAAACGAGAAAGCAAGAATTGTTCTTATCGTTTTCCATCTTTTACCTTTATGAGAAGGAAAGGAAACCATCAATTTGCATTTAAAGCTAATTTGTCTGCAGCAGAAAAGTAAAACTCGTTGTGCAGTTGCGTTTCTCATATTTTGTGACGCTATTTGGGAATTTTTGTAGTGCCTTTTTTATTGTTAGCAAATCCGAGCTATTTCAAAACTGGAACAGTAGAATTTCAGGATTTGTCTTCAACTATCCATGGGGATATGCAAATAGCAAATAGTGGTCTTCATTTGCATTATTAATTCATCCTAACTTCTACACCATTTTCTTTGCGACATGGTAGCTTGTTTCGTTAAGGCCGAATTTATTACTATTTGTTAGCGGGGGATTGCTGCCGGTTCGTGCAAAAAATGATAAACTGATTATAGCGTGAAAAGGCATTTTTTAAATGGGAATTGCCTGAAGGGAGTTTATAGGTAGCCATTAATGTTATTATTCAGTGCAGTTCAGTTAAGAGATTGGTTATATAAGGATGACCAGAATGGTGCGCTGACCAAAGTCAGAAGCAACAGTTTCGGAACAATCCTTCCGAAACCGAAAATCAGCTGCTAAACCGCTTTTTCCAGGAACAGCGTCATCAGAAAATGAAGCAAGAAGACGACAAAGTCCAGAACACTGATTTTAAACAGCCGACAAAGTTGAAGGTCACTGAAAATGACCGACTGTGGCGTCCGATGACCATCGAAGAAGAAAAAAGCGGAGAATATTTCCGGTTTGTTATCCATTACTCGTTATCTTTCACTCCCAGTCTATCACGTACCTGTTTAATCCTACTCTCCTTATTCTCCCATTAATTGTTTTAAGGTTATAACAGGAAGAAAAAATACAACCTGACTAGGATATGTTATAAATGTTGAATTGACCTACTGGAAAATATCTGGTACGGGGAGTATTGATTTTGTAGTTATGGCGGAATGAAACATAATTTCACTTCTCTTGTCTGCATGTTTGGATTACAAAGTGCCAAAGAGTTTCCACTTCTTGTGTTTTTATTATTTCTAACTCCCTAAATCAGTAATTTCTAACGATGTAACCTCGAAACTCCCAAACGAATTACGAAATTTCTATTTGTTCCTCAAACATTGGAAGTCCGCTGATGTGGAAAGTGAAATTAACTGGTAGAACAAATTGGGAACTTGGAATATAGTTTGACTTAAGCATAATTATAAATTTCATTTCATTGGCAGTGAGTGGCAGTAAGAAGAGGACGGAAAAAATGAGGGAAGAAACATTTTGTCCTCCGAAACATTGGGGTGCTGGTGCTAAGAGGCCTTGCAGCAATTTCAGTTCAATTCAGACTTCCCTTCCTCTTTAGAAAAGCCATACATCTATGACTCATACCTTTTTTTGTCCTCCTACGCCCAGAACTGTATGTAAGCTTTAATTTCTTGAAAAAAGAATACTGCAAACTTGAAGATCAGCAATAGCAGCAGTGGAAGTGACAACTGATATTTACTTTTCTGCCTGGCAAATAGAAAATTTTAGTTTATTTTTCATCTCATCTTATCAGAATTTTGATAAAATGTCAATATATGTCGTAAAATGTGGTAGGATTACAATGATAGGGCCTTTAAATCAGTGGAGCTACCAAAAAGGCAATAGTTTTATTGAAATTTGATGTAGTTAGATGTCGCCTTTTGATGTAACCAGAATTAACTGCAACTTGAATATGTTAGTTAAACTTTCACAAAATAGTAAGTATGAGTTAGGAAATTTCAATGGGCATATCAATCGGGTTTTGAGAAATAATCGATGAAGAACCCGACTGAATTGGTGTAAAGACTGGAGAGCAAAGATGAAAAGACAGCTGGGTTCGAATAAGGTCAGATGAGATGGGCCATTAAATTCATTCGTCCTATGAGTGTCTGCGCGACACTCTTCCTGTCCCAAACAATGTGATACGTATAGGGGCTGAAGCTGTTTGAATGATTGCGAAGGTTTCATCACAAAAAAAGGACTCGCTGAGAGCTGCTGGAATAGAGGAGCTCTTCTTTATGACTTTATGTGTGCGCTGTGCGGACGTGTCAAGGGGAAGAGGGAAGAGATATCGAGTGGGGTGTAGATATTCGCGACCGTCGATATTTTGGAAGAATTCCCGGAGTGATTCATTCTATTTGTAGCTTTCACTGTAAGGAGGTTAAGATATGAGGCCGCCACAGCACAACAATAGCGACAAAGAACTCGTGTCAAAATGTCGCGGTGATTACGATTGCTTGATTTCGTTAGTTTATTTCCTGATAATTATCTGCTGGTCACAACAATTAGTAGCTTGCTAGGTGAAGCATTATGTTGGGTAAAATTGTAATAAACGTGAATTGTGAGTAAAGTTAGGTGAGTCGATCATTTCAGTAATTATATGGATGATAAAATTCTTCATACGGATGCTAGATTTGATTTGGAGTGCTATTGCTGGACTGTCCCGTCTTTCAGCTCGTAGTAAAAACAATGTTTTTGATTTAGCCAAAATCTATCTGATAATAAGAATGGTTACTAAGCAACTGCTAGTACGCGTTCATTCTGTCCTTAGATTTGCACTAAAGCAACCAGTGTGGATGATTTTGGTTTTACTTCTGTTACTCATTTAATGCTGGGAAAATAATCTCAGTTCGGAATTAGGGAGAAGTTAATATGTCGAATTGGTTTGTTTAAATCCGTGTTATCGATTTATAAAACCCAACAAATAAATCATTCCGGGAGTTAATTGAAGGGATTTCACAACCAGATGTTACTAGAAGTTTTTTTTCTTGAGATTTTGTTACTTTTTGAAAACAAGTCACTGTTCTGTCAAAAGATATTTTCTCAGTAAGTATATGTTGGCTATATTGTCACTAAACCACCGAACGGGCCTAACCGATTTTTCAAATGTGAATAGGTGCTGATTTTGATAATCAATTCGATTATGCTAACGTATCTCTAAATTCATTAATTTGCCATACTTCTTTTAAAAAGATATGTTTAGTCTATTATACAAAGATGGTAATAATTCAGTGGCAGTGAAGAAAATTTGTAATCATTGATTATTGAACAGTGTTACCGTTGCTTGCAACATGCATAAATATATCTTACAGACAAGAGCAGAAATTGGTATCAGTAGCAGAAGGTACAAATTTGGAACACTTGTGTAAATTAAATATTCGCGAACAGCCATGTGTAGTCCGAAAAACTGGAATAATTTGTACTATTGGTAAGTGGGAGTCATTATTTGACAGTCAGTTTGTTATGTGTGATAAAAGTATTTAAAAGAAGGTGTCGACGTGAAGTGCTTAACTTTTAAATAATTCTAGGACCAGCATGTCGAAGCGTGGAGAAATTGCAAGAAATGATTATCAACGGAATGAATATTGCCCGTTTGAATTTCAGCCATGGATCATATGAAGTAAAGAATGTGGCCAGAGTCTAATTATTGATGGTTGAGTGGGGAACCATAGTTATGCAAATGCATATGGGATTTGAAACTGTCACAGATCGGAATTCGAATTCAAGTCATTATTTATTCATTTCTTTTAATTTCAGTACCATGCGGAAACAATAGCGAATGTCCGGTCAGCAGCAAACAACTTCAGCGAGCGACGATTAGTCGCAATCGCCCTTGATACAAAGGGGCCAGAAATACGTACCGGTCTTCTGGAGGGAGTCCGTTCTTTTTTTTTGTTGCTCAGTTTGACTGCTTTTTTGTAACACCTATGTACAAAATTAAAGAAGCTGAGAATTTCCAAGTTCTTATTATTCAGGGTGCCAGTGCAGAGGTGGAACTGGTAAAAGGAAATCATATCCGACTAACCACTGATCCATCCATGGAAAATTCAGGCACAGCACAAAACGTTTTCGTTGATTACAAGAACATCACTAAAGTTCTTAGTGTTGGCTCTCGAGTCTTTGTTGATGACGGTCTTATTTCATTAATCGTCAATTCAGTCGGTGATTTTTATTTTCTAATCGAACAAAAAGTATTTTCAATTCACTAAATATGTAAACATCTAGCGCTGCTGGGAATTTTGAACCTTGTAAATGGATTTACTCTCATTTTGTAAAAAAACAAAACTGCACAGACCTTAAAAAAAAACAAAAGCAAAACTTCACAAACCTTGCAGATCTATTTGTAAGAGGAAGTATTATATGGCTAGTTTGGTTTAGATGACAGTCTTATACCATAATTTTATAACTAAGGATGGGATTCATGCTCAACTGTAAATCCGCATTTCCTGAATTTCCTAAATCCTCATTTTCAGAATTTTTTTTTCGTGTCATTTCAAAACCTTTGTATTGTATTCTTTATTTAATCGCTTACCATGTGAAGCTGCTGTATACTTAATCCTATCATCAGTACATTGCGGTTTTTACATTTGTTTTGAAAGTGTGAATTCTGTTGCATATTCCTTTGAAGATTTGAGTCTTCTAGAAAATGAAAGTATACTATGCACCGTTGAAAATGGCGGTATGTTGGGGAGCAGGAAGGGTGTCAATTTGCCCGGTACACCGGTTGATTTGCCAGCTGTGTCTGAGAAAGATATCAAGGATTTACAATTTGGTGTGGAGCAGGTATTCATAAATTTCTAAACTAAAAACTGAAAAATAACAGCAGAGGAATTTATATTCCACAAGAAAAATTGTTGGCTTACTTGTTTTACCAACTGGAGTTCAGTGAATGACGTAATTTATTGTTAATGTTCCAGAAAATAGATATCGTTTTTGCATCATTCATACGCAACGGTAGCGGTATCAGCATGATAAGAAAAGTGCTTGGTGAAAAAGGAAAATACATCAAAATCATAGCAAAAATCGAAAATCACGAAGGTGTTGATAAGTGAGTGGTTTCTCCAGTATTTGTAATAGGTTATGTTCAGGATTGTGAGATGGGATCTGAAATTATAATGATAGTATCTTAATCTGCAACTAATACAACTTCTTACGTTACTCAAATGGTTCCAAAAACTAAAATTTAAAAAATAAAGTGTCGTTTTTTCTAGAGCCGATGAAATTATTGAGGAAGCAGACGGCGTTATGGTTGCTCGTGGAGATTTGGGTATTGAAATTCCAGCAGAAAAGGTATTTTTGGCTCAGAAAATGTTGATTGCCAAGTGTAATAGAGCAGGGAAGCCGGTTATCTGTGCAACTCAAATGCTTGAATCGATGATAAAGAAGCCAAGACCAACTCGTGCTGAAGGTTATTGATCTTGGATTACCCCGTGATATTAAGCTTTGAGATTTTCTTGAATTGGAATCTTGAAAAGGTAGCGGGGGGGGGGTATTAGATTTTTAATAGCTTTGTTCATATTTATCCAGAAATAAATGCGTTACTAGTTAGAATACAAGCAAAATTATCAAGGAGCAGTCTTAACCGCTCAAGTTCATTTCAGGTAGTGACGTTGCGAATGCAGTTCTGGATGGAGCTGACTGCGTGATGCTTAGCGGTGAAACTGCTAAGGGTGAATATCCATTAGAAGCCCTCAAAATTATGCATCAGGTTAGTATTCCAATAGTACGCAATAAATCAATAAGTCTGTACTTATCTACTTAAGGTTGCGATTGTGGGAAGAATTCTTGGCCTGGAATTATTTTTCTTTCAGGGCAGTTATTTCTTTTCAGTATACTTGCATACTTCATTGTGCATCCTATATATAATATAGAGATAATCTGACTAAATAATCCGACAGTTTTCACTGGTTTAGGAACATAACTAAGTATGTTGCACTTCAGACAGTTTATTTGTAGATCTGCAAAGAAGCAGAAGCAGCGGTGTATCATACGAGGTTTTTCGAGGAACTTCTTCATGCAACCCAGAAACCAACGGATATCGCACACACTGTTGCCATTGCAGCAACTTCGGCTGCGGCATCTTGCCATGCCAGTGCAATGATTGTAGTCACCACTACCGGACGGTTTGCTTCTATTTATGTGCATTGTAGAGTTTTGTAGCGCGTAAATAATCTTAAACACTGAAATGTTCAAGTGAAAGTATAAATACATATTCAAACCGATGAGGATTCCCGACAATCTCAAGTCGTTGATTAAGTAAAACGGTTTTAAGTTCCATTTGAAATCATAAATTATGACCATAAATCTTATTAATTGCCTTACGTACTCTATTGAAATACTTAATGGTATAAGGACATTGTAAACAAGTAAAGCTTAAATAGTTAGTAATACTTAGTCCAGCATTTCCTAACAAACTCCTCCAAAATGTAACTGCTTACTTTTCTCAGATCTGCCGGCTTGATATCTCGTTATCGACCAATGATGCCTATCTTTGCAATATGTCGGGATGAACATGTCGCACGGCAGCTTCATCTTTGGCGCGGTATATTCCCTCTTCAATATGGAGGTAAAGCATTAAATCGTTTGTTTCCGCAAAAACTACTCATGTTGCTAGAAACATGAATTAGAGGTTGAATCCAAAGTTAACTAAAATATATCCAGCAAATCGAGAAAGTGATTGGTCGAGCGATGTTGATGCCCGAATTAATTATGGTATTTTGGTTGGTAAGGACCGCGGTTTTATCAAGAAGAACGACCTGGTGGTTGTCATTACTGGCTGGAGACAAGGTTTCCTTGTTTTCATTCTTATGAGTTTGAAGTCAGCTTATTTCCTGACCTTTCTTCATTTGAGACGCCCATTCTGGAACAGCTATATTTAACATCGGAAAGAGTTAACTCTTATGAGGTGGGATGAGTTTCAAATTTCAAACCAAATTAAGAATAATTTTGTCAAGTATGTTATGTGAATAGAAAATGTTTCTAGGAGCCGGACACACGAACACGTTACGTATTATCAAGGTACCCTAAATATGCTGATACAATCGCAGTTCATTTCCATTTAGCTTGCCTATTCCTTAAAGTCCAGTTTATTGGCGACTATCGATCAGTATCATCTATCAACAATACTATCCCGACCCTCTCCTTTATAAGATATATTAATTTTAAAACTGCACTACATAAAACTTTGTAAGCAGATTATGGATTACCAACTTAATGAATTTGCTCTATAGCGTTATTTATCAAGCTTTTTTTTTTTGAGCATAACAAAAATGTTCCTGCTTGTAGCCCATACTACTTATGTTCTAATTCAATAATTTTTAGTTAGATTTTAATTCGGTAAATTCTCGTGTTTATGTCTGTGTAGTGTTTTTGTTTTTCTGTAGTCTGCAAATTTTATATTGGTCACTGGCTGTGCTCATTAAGTTGTTTCAGCTTTACTTCTTTACCTGTTAGAACCGACGGCGTCATAAAATTGGAAAAAAAATTGTCATTATCTTATAGGACTGTTATCTACGAAAAAATATTTCATACAAGAAATTCTCTGATTCATTGACAGTAATTCAGCAATTGAAAAATCTGCTTCGATCTATACAAATAATTATTTTTATTTAGAGGATCTGTCAGTTAGTAATGAAATATTCCTGGTAATTTTAATTTCGTGTGAGTCTTGTTTCGCTTTCCTGAGCATGTTTTCCACTTCGGGAATAATGGTATTTATGTTCAGCGATGCTCACTGTTTTAAATGTGGGTTGATTCAAACTAACGTGATAATTTTGATTTTTTATAATAATTTTTACAATGAAATTGACAACAGTTTTGTTTTCTGAGCTTTAAATATTACCTTGAACATACATTTTGTGGTAAACGATTTCGTAGACACTCCTCCCATCCTTCACTCTGTTTCTTATCCTGTTAGAATTTGTATTTTTAGTGAGGTTTTTTCAATAATTTTGATTATTATTACCATGGGAGCTTCAACTGTCATCCTTTCATTGTCAGTTTTTTTCTCTTTGCATCCTTTCACTATCGATTAAAATGATGTTTTTCGGTTTAATCTTCGGTAGAGCTTCAGTAAAGAATTTGTTGTTATGTCTTCATTGTAAATCGATATAAAAAACTGAAGATATACTCCATCGAAAACAAACGTAACGAAATTCCCCTTCATGGCGACGGGAACGGGAACGGCTTAATGTGGGGGATGATTCTATTTAAAACAAATTGAGATCTCCTGGTAGCATCACTGGAGAGTTCACAGTGGACAGACATTTCAGATGACTTCAATCCTCGTGGATTTTTCTCGGCGTACCTTTCGGGTGTGTTTCAATTTAAGCATAGAGATATCGACTGGATTGATACCGGGATTAGCCATCTTATTGTAATTAGGCAAGGAATTTTCAATTGGTGCTGCTTGTTACTGTTGTCTGTTTCGTAAGTGCAGACTCATTACTGCTAAAGTCCAATGTATATTGTGTAACTTCACATGCGCATGTTTTGTGAATTTCGTCACATTCGAGTGAAAGAGTTTCTGAAATTCTACATCCTGATACAAAAAGTTAGAAAAAGAAGTAAATGGATTGATGGTGATAATAGGTCACTTTTCCACTTGTTATATTACCGAATTTGTTCCACTGAAATCGAGAAGTACTGACATGAATATCAATCATGTAAACATAATGTCTAAATTCCAAGATGGTCCAATCGTTCTTTCAATTTTTGCTTTCAAAGTTTTTTCAACAATTTCTCAGAAACCTTAGAAGTTTCTAGCCCCGGTAAGTTGTTATACACCAGTAAATTCATTGGAGCATCGTACATTATTAAGCAACAAATTATAAATAGGCTAAATGTGAAGCACAGATCTATCCGAAAATTCCTGATGTTCCAACTATAAGTATCGGAAAAACAGGAATGATATGTTAGGCTTATT